GTATGTATGTGTGTGTATGCATGCATGCATGTATGTATGTATGTATGTATGTATGTATGTATGAAAACACCATAATGGACTCCACAAAGATATATGTACCTTCGGACAATGTGATTTTTTTTTTTTGAGAGATGGTCTCTCTGTGTAGCCTCGACTGTCCTGGAACTCACTCTGTAGACCAGGCTGGCCTCCAACTCAGAGAACGACCTGCCTCTGCCTCCCAAGTGCTGGGAACAAAGATGTGTGTCACCACACCACTGTTTTGTGTGTGAGCAGTTTTCCTGCAGGTATGTCTGTTCATCAGATGCATACCTGGTGCCTACATGAGTGGTGAGCCTCCATGTGGGGTCCTGGGAATCGAACCTGGGCCCCTTGCAACAATAACAAGTACTCTTAACCACCTCTCCAACCCCATGATTGTTGATCTTGATTGCCAACTTGATAGGGGTTAGGGCCACCCAGGAGACAAGCTTCTAGGTATGTCTGAAAAGGTGTTTCCAGAAAGACTCAGTGGCAGTGGGAAGACCCACTTTGAGTATGAGAGGCACCATGGCTTCATCTGAGGCCCTGGACTGAATAAAAAGGAGAAAGCCAGCTGAACACCAGTGTTCATCTCCCTGCTTTCTGACTGTGTGTAAGCAACTGTGACCTGTCCCTCAGGCCCCTGCCTTTAAGCTCGCTCCACCACAGTGGACTGTATCCCCTCAAACCGTGAGCCCGAATGAACCCTTCCTTAAGTTGCTTCTGTCATAAAAAGCAAAGCAACCAACCCAGAGCATCGACCCTCATTTGACTTTCACAATGGCCTTCTGTCTTTCTCCCTATAGACCACAGGCTCCTTGCAAGGTGAGCTGCTGCACCCGCAGTGAATAGGACCGGGTTTCAGTAACTATTGGCTGGATCAACTAAAACAGGGGAACCCATTAACACTGAAGTCAGCTTGAGAGGACGCAGCTCTGCCAAGACTGGCTTGAGGCAGCTCACTCATCTACGTGACTTTAAGGAAGTCACTTCGGCCTTCTGTACTTTGAGGAAACCGAAGTAAAATTATCTATAAAGTCTTTTCCAAACTGTAATGTTGAGCCTGTTAGCTACATAAGTCATGGGCTTCGTAAGTGCGCGTGTGTGGCCTGTGCATAATGAATGCCAATTAAAGGAAAAGGTGAATGAGTGGAATGGCTAGTGCTGTTTTGCTTCCCGTCCGGTGCTTTTGAGACAGGGTGCTGTTATGGAGGTCTGGCGTCACAAATGTGGGCTACCGCTTCTGGTGCCTGCGAGGTTTAAGTGGGCAGAGGGGGATGGGATCTTCCTCAATTACTTTGCGGCTATTTTACATGTATGAATATTTTGCGTTTATGGACATGTGTGAATTGCATGTGTACGTGTCTGGTGCATCAGAAGAGCACATTTGATTCCCTGGTGCTGGAGTTACATAGAGAACATTCTAAGCCACCATGTGGGGCCTGGAGACTGACCACTGGTCCTCCTGAAGAGCAGTAAGTGTTAACTGCTGCTCCCTCTCTATTTATTTATTTATTATTTATTTATTTATTTATTTTGTTTTTCGAGACAGGGTTTCTCTGTGTAGCCCTGGCTGTCCTGGAACTCACTCTGTAGACCAGGCTGGCCTCGAACTCAGAAATCTGCCTGCCTCTGCCTCCCAAGTGCTGGGATTAAAGGCGAGCGCCACCACCGCCCGGCGCATGCTCCCGCTTTAATATCTGAGATAAGATCTCTCACTAAACATGAGAACTCTCACATGAACATCCTGACTGAGTTAGGCTGACTGACCTGCAAGCATTCAGGGATCTTCCCTTCCTTGCCTGCAAGTGTTGTGGCTATAGGATTGACCACTGTGCCTGGACTTTTTCCTTTTACTTAGTTTTCTGGCATCAAACTCAGGTTTGCATGCTAAGCACTTTGATGCTGGAGCCATCTCTCCACCCCTTCCCCAACACACTTTTTGACACAAGGTCTCTTGTGGCTTAGGCTGGCCTTCAACTCAGTATGTGGGTGAAGACAAGTGTGAACTCTCAATTCTTCTGTCTCTGACAAGTATATTCTACTGTATACTCCACTACAGTATACTTTGAATAGTGTGTTTTGATCTCCTAAGCTCCGAGGGCTGTTCCGAAGGCCACAGGACAACTCGGACTTTGCCAAAACATTTTCACAATCTATGGAGGCCAATCCAGGAGACTTGAGGATAACCCGTTTAGCAGATATGGAAATCCAGGCTCATTTTTACGTTGTGTTCCCTTGGTGTGGGTGCCCCACAGTGTAGTTTCCTTCAACGGCTGCACAGTGAAGTTATTAAAGTTGAGACTGTGTCTCAGCTCTGCAACCTGAGTCCATAGTCAGTATCCTGAGGATCAATAAACAAAAGTATTGTCGAGAGCTGTGGTCCCGTTGGTGCAGTGTTGGCCCAGCATGCATGAAGCCCTAAGTTCCACGCTACATAAATTAGGTACACGTATGTGTACCTGCAAATGAACTCGGTAGGTGCAAGCAGGAGGATTCTCAGTTTAGGGTCATCCTGGGCTGTGTGGTAGGCTCATGATGCTCTATCACAAAAAAAACCCCAAAAAACTCGTTTAAGTATGCAAATCAATAAGAGGCCTAGTCTAGGGAGCCTACAACTCCCCACAGGGCTGCGTTTGAAGAATTGTCTGGGTGTAATTCCTTCTAACTTGCATTTTATGGGATTCTAATGGTCACCAACCACTCGCTGTCTTTTTCTGCCCGGCTGTCCTGCACTGGTTTAGACTTCTCTAGCTCCGCCTCCGGGGAAGGGCGTGGCCTCACCAGAGGGGGCGTGGCCAAGGCGAGAATTGGGCCTTCTTGCCTCCAGTGTGGAGCCGCCCAATCCGGGGGGGGGGGGTTTGAGGAGATTTATCACGTGACCGGGGAGTTTTTTTTTTTTTTTTTCTTTTTTTTTTACCCTCCCTTATGCCTATACCACTTCTGCTGTCCCTAGGGGGGCTGTCTTGCTCTTTTGCAGGAAGTAAACTACGTCTTGTGATCTTTGATGAGTTAGAAAAAACGTCAAATTGTGCTTTTATTGTGACTGAGTCAGTTTTTGACCCTGGAGTGGTGCTTTTGCCTTTAGGCTCCCCCCTCTGGGGTAGTTGGTCTCGTCCAGCCTGGCCCTGGGCGCGGCGGCGACGGCCGCGTCACTGGCGGGCGGGATCCCTCCGCTCTGGGGAGAGCTGCGCTGGACGGTTGAGTTGGGGTGACTGAGGAAATCCATCCGCGTCGCCGCCGCTGCCGCCTCCGCCGCGGAGGAAGACAGGACCTCCCGCGCTCCTGCAAGCGACCCCTTGGCAGAGTCCCACCACCTCAGGTACCTCCGCTGACAAAAGGAGTCCTCATCTCCCCCAGCCCCAAATTCCCACGGGTGTGTGTGTGGCAGGGGGAAGCCTCGGTTCCTTCTGTCTCCCGGGTTTGGCTGTTGGGAAACGGACGTAACTCCCCAGACCTCCCTCCCTTCCTCTGGCCCGGTCGTTTCCAAACCCGGAAGGGGAACTGGGGCGGGGGGGGGGACCCTCGCTTCAATAATGCATGCCCTCCCTGCAGTATCAGTGGCAATTTTTTTTTTACTCTAGACCCTCATCCCAGCCCCCGCCTGCCTCTTGCTTCCTTAATAGTTGGGGGGCTAAATTCCGGGTTTCTTCTAAGTCCTGTCCCGCCCCCTTTCCCCACCACCACCCTGCTGCCTGCCCCTGGGTAACAACCCTCGTGCCCACTCGTTTCACACCCTTGCTTGTATTCCCCTTGCAGAACTCTAGAACCCTAGGAGCTACAGCTAAGGCCTCAAGGCCACCCTTGTCTTCGTCTCCACCCTACTGTCTCTTGATTGGGGCTCTAGCAGTGTTTTCTCAGTCCCGAACCCTAAACTGGAGATCTCAGCACTTTATTCTTTTTACAAATCCCTACCCCAGGTCTGGCACCTAGTCGCCTGTCCCCTTCGCCCAGCTTTCTTTTGGGCAAAATGGAGGTCCTACGAGCTAGAGGGCCTGGCCCACTGCACTTCGCAGCGCGGCAGCAGCCTGCGCCGTCCAGCTGCCAGATCTGAGGACCCTCTCTTGTCTCTCACACCTGCGGAGGCGGTGGCACCCCTTTATTGTTGGGGGGCTATGGTTGCTTTATCCCTAGAATCGAGGAGCTGCTGAGGGATCCTTGGAGGGTAATGGGGATCTATGGGCTGGGAGCGTGGCCCCCGACCCAGTGTCTTCTTCCTGGCCTGTTTTCCTTCTGCCTCAGGCCTGTGTCATTGAGGCCAGACCTGGGCTGCTGGCAGCTGGAAGGAAGGGGCTTTTGTCCACAGCTGGAGTGGGGTGGGAGCTGTGTCGTTGCCCCCTCCCACCTCATGTTGGAGGGGCATCTTCTGGCACTGGCGCAGAAAGCTGAACTTACGGAGGGGAAATATCTTCGGGGAAGAGGAACGCCCAGTGGCTGGGGGAAGTGGGAGCTGGGTGGGGGACGCCTGGGTTGCCAGAGTGCAGTGTACACGGCCAGATCGCACAGGTGTCCCGGGAAGGCAGGACGTCCGAGGCTGGAGTGGTGCCAGCTAGGCCTCGGGGGCTCCTGGGCGCAGAGCTGGGCTCTAGGGGTGCCTAGGGGCATCGGGCCGAGCCGCCTGGGGCCGCTTGCCGGCGCCTGGGAGAGAGCAGCTCCGCGCCCCGGAGCCAGGGGCCTCTCTTCAGAGCCCTAATTACTTCTGAGAGGCTCCCACGGGCTTTGTGCGGGCGCGGCGGGGCGGACGACCTCGGCGCTGAATGGAGCTGGCGGCTTGGGGGCTTGCTTTCCCCGCTACTCTCACACTGACCAGCGGCTAATGGGGTGCAGCCGGCCCGGAATGGGGATTATCCCGGGTTGAGCCGTCCCAAACCTATTAGTGTTCAATCGGCTTTCCCCAAATCCCGTAAACAGCCACCCTGGCCGGTTCTGGGTAAGAGGAGGGAGACTAGGTCGGGCGGGGGCGATGGGGGCCGGGGGTGGGGTCACCCACCCTACAGGTCTCTGCCGCGGATGCGGTTGCCTTGGCAACGAGGCTAGGGTGGGGGCACTTCACCAATGAGGTGCTCTCAGTCCGGGTGACGGTTGCCTAGGCAACCCCACGAACAGCCTAGCTTCTCCCTTCATTCCCCCCCCCCATCACCACCTCTGTCTTAGCTGGGGGTGTGTGTGGAGGGTGTGCGGTGTGTGGGGGTGAATTTAAAGAGGCACCGCCCCTTTTTAAAATTAGGTGCTGGGAGGGCGGCGCCTTGTGCGGGCTGGGGCGGACGCCAGGTCTGTTTTCGAAGGGACTCTCCCCCCCACCCATCCCCAGTTCCTGCCGCCCGAGTGTCCCGCCCGGGCTGCTGTCCGAGGGAGGGGTTTCCCCTGCTCTTCCTCTTGCACTTCCCACTCCGTTTCCGGGGGCCTGGGAGGAAGATTGGGGAAGTCGTTTGTTCCTTGGCAACGTCTCTTGGGTACCGGAGACCCCGAACCTTCCCCTGGTACCACGTCCTCTGCTGCCCCTGCCCAGCAGACCCTTTCCTGGCCGCGCGCTTCCACCCCGCCTTTCCCTGCTGCTTCCCGGGCCGTCTTGGGGCCTGACGTCAGCCTTGCATTCCCCCCCCCCTCCCAGGCCTCGGGCCAGCGGCCAGGAGCTGCCTCCCCCAGCCCCCGTCCCGCGGCCCCCAGCCGCCCCCAACCCCGCCCCACGGGCCCGGCGCCATGAGTGAGCTGGAGCAACTGAGACAGGAGGCCGAGCAGCTCCGGAACCAGATCCGGGTGAGGGCCTGGTGGCTGTGATGGAGAGGCCGATCCCGGCCAGGCGTGGCTTGAGTGTGCTGCTTCCCTTTGACCTGAGCGTTGCCTGTGGCCGGTGTGTCAGTGTGTTGCAGGGTGGGAGGAGAAAGGGGATCCTAGTCTCCAAATGTCTCCAGCTCATATTCCCCCTTGTCTTCTGTTTTCTTTACTCTTTCTTTCTTCACCTCTGCACTCGATTCTCTCCTTCTCCTCTCTCGCACTGCCCATCACTTACAGGACGCTAGAAAAGCATGCGGGGATTCCACACTGACCCAGGTGAGGTGCCTACAGAGCTATCCTGGGGCCTTGAAGGATTGGGGGGGGGGGTTGTTGGATGGCCTTTTCTGTTGCTTGGGTCTCCTTGTATCACCTCAGTCTCCTCTCCGTTGTTCCAGATCACAGCTGGGCTGGACCCAGTGGGGCGAATTCAGATGAGAACACGGAGGACCCTCCGTGGACACCTGGCAAAAATCTATGCCATGCACTGGGGGACAGACTCAAGGTGTGTGTGTGGCCTCTGCTTTAGCGTCCCTAGGTTCTGGGGTGATTTTATATAATGGGCAGAATGACCATACAGGGTATGGGGGGACCCACAGGTCTGGTGGGAAGAACCTAGAAGACCAGTGATCCAGGGTCATACTGAGAAGATTTGGGGGAATGCTTCTAAAAAACTTCTCTAGACAGGGAGGGTTGGGGGTCCTCTGTCTTCCATACCCTGAGCTGTCTGCCTTCCCTGCCGCCAGGCTGCTGGTCAGCGCCTCCCAGGATGGAAAGCTCATCATTTGGGACAGCTACACCACTAACAAGGTAAAGCTGGCAGCAAAGTGGGTGGGGTAGGGCTTGCCAGTCCCTGGCTGACTTTGACTAGGGGTGCTGCTCTCCTCTAGGTCCATGCCATCCCTCTGCGCTCCTCCTGGGTCATGACCTGTGCCTATGCCCCCTCGGGGAACTTTGTGGCCTGTGGGGGTTTGGACAACATCTGCTCCATCTATAGTCTCAAGACCCGAGAGGGCAATGTCAGGGTCAGCAGAGAGCTGCCTGGCCACACTGGTGAGTGGAGCCTGAAAACTAGGCAAGGACATTGTCAGGGGAAGGGACGACATCCACTGTCCTCACTAAAATGCCTGACCACAACCCCCTTTCTCAAGGGTACCTTTCATGCTGCCGCTTCCTGGACGACAACCAAATCATCACCAGCTCTGGGGATACCACCTGGTGAGACTCTGCCAGGCTGGGTTCCCTGCCTTCGGGTGATCCAGGGCCTAGCTGATGGCACACTTCTGAGCACCTAGTCTTCCTCTCTGGGTGGCGGCCAAGTGGTTCCCCTACCTACCCTGTGGGGTTCCAGGTCCTCTTTGCAGAGGGCCCTGTCAGGGTTGGGCTCAGATGCTAGGAAAGCCAGGGATTCTGTCCTTCAGTTCTTTCCTGATCCTTCCTCCTGTTGCCTCTCCAGTGCCCTGTGGGACATTGAGACAGGCCAGCAGACGGTGGGGTTTGCTGGACACAGTGGGGATGTGATGTCCCTGTCACTGGCCCCCGATGGCCGCACCTTTGTGTCAGGTGCCTGCGACGCCTCCATCAAGCTTTGGGATGTTCGGGATTCCATGTGCCGACAGACATTCATAGGTCATGAATCGGACATCAATGCCGTGGCTGTAAGTCAGGAGGAGCATGGTGGGCGGCCCCTGCATCCCACACCCTGACTTGCCCCACACCCTCCCTCATCATCTCTGGCCCACATCTTGCAGTTCTTCCCCAATGGCTATGCCTTTACCACGGGATCAGATGACGCCACCTGTCGCCTGTTTGACCTGCGGGCCGATCAGGAGCTGCTCATGTATTCCCACGACAACATCATCTGTGGCATCACCTCGGTTGCCTTCTCGCGCAGCGGCCGGCTGCTGCTCGCTGGCTATGATGACTTCAACTGCAACATCTGGGATGCCATGAAGGGTGACCGTGCAGGTGAGGACTTGGGGCTCACAAGGCAGAGGTGGCAAGTGTGGGCTACACTAGTTTCTACGGCCTTCTCTTTCTTCTCCAGGTGTCCTCGCTGGCCATGATAACCGTGTGAGCTGCCTTGGGGTCACAGATGATGGGATGGCCGTGGCTACAGGCTCCTGGGACTCCTTCCTCAAGATCTGGAACTAACCTCCCCATCCCCAGATGGGCCCAGGCAGGGAGCAGCCCTGCCCATGCCCACACTACAGGCCCGGAGCTTTGGGGCTGGGTACACGTGCCAGGCCTCCCTCCCTGGGCTACAGGGCCTTGGGTCCTGCTCCCACACCCAGGTTTGGTTCCTCTCGGGGGGGCCCCCACCATGGAGATAAAAGTCGGGGATGGAATGGGGGAAGAGGAAGGGCAGGAAAGCCCTCACCCTTTGCTGCCCTGGGGCCAGGGCCTCACCCCTCTGGAGGGCCAGAGGCAGGAGGTGGAAACTCCAGGGGCTGGCTTTTTTAACTGGTTTTATTTTAATTTTTATTATATTTTCAGTTTTTCCATAAAGGAACCACTTCCAACTCTGTATCTAGTCTCCTTGTTTGCTGTCCCCCTTGCCTCTAGAAAGCAGACAGGCAGTGGGTGTTGGGCTCCTCTAAGCTCTATACAGAGGGTACCCCATTCTTGCTCTACATAAGGCCGAACGAGGCCAGCATTTCTCAGATGTATACAACCCCTGCCAACTGTACCACAGAAAAGCCAGCAGACAAGGAACATAGGAGAACACACCAAGTTTTATTGGGAATATTTACAAGAGTGGGTATTAGGGAAGTCACACAGGGTAGAGGTAGGGTAAACTGGGGTACACAGGACACCTACACTACCCTGAACCCCAAGGGGGCAGGGTGGAGCAGCACAGCCCTGTGAGACTGGGATGGGGAAAGGATTAAGAGGGAAGGGGCATCTGAGTCCCTGGGCTAGGGGCTCAGGGCTTGTAAACATTGACCACTCTCAGAGGGGATGGGGTGGGAGAGGGCTCCCCCTACACTTCCTCACAGGGTTAAGGCCTCTCCAGGCTCATGGGCCCCCAAGTTCAAAGTCTCTTTAGCTGGGGGAAGGGGTAGGAAGAGACAAGTGCCCCCCCCGCCCCTGCATTGGCTGTGGCAGGGGCAGGGCAGGTTACATTCAGTCACAACAGGAGCCTCACCCACCCCTCCAATGCCACCACAATGGCAAGAGGGAAGGGGAGCTGGGGGGCCAGCAGCAGCAAGACATTTCCCCCTGGCCCATCACCCCCTTATTGCTTTAGAGAGAATATTGTCTTTTCACAGACACTAACACTGTCAAAACCAGGGAGAAGCAGGTGGAGGGGCTCTGCCACCAAGAGCCGGCCTGATCCCCAACACTGACCCAGTTGCCACTTTGGTGCAAAAAAAAAAAAAAAAAGAAAAAAGAAAAAAAAAGTTGAAAGGAAAACAAAAGGTCACCTCTCTGGGGATTGATGGGAAAGAAGAAACTGGGGCCACTTCCCCAGGGCAGAAAAGAGAAATACATTCATGGAGGAGGCAGTGGCAGGCTCGCTCGTTCACTCGCTCGCCCTAATACTGCATTCTGAGCAATGAGGTCGAAGGAGATTCACTAACACAGTGTATTAGAAAGAAAAAGGAAAGGAAGAAAAAAAAGCCAAACAATGGAGACAAGCCCAGGCGGGGGACGAGGAGTGAAGTCGGTGAGCAACAGGCAAGGCAGCCCCCAGCCCGGGACACAGGCGCTTTCAACCTCCAGCCTTCCACCCAACACAAAAAACAGCAAGGGAGGGGCTGCTAACTCCTCCCATTTGGTCAGTGGAGGGGTCAGGGACAGAGCTGTGGTCTGCTTCCCACACAGCTGGCTGTAGATCCTGGGGGTCCCGCCATGGCCCCCTACCACAGGTTCAGCCCCAAGCCACTCCTTCCGTGTCCTTCCCTCACAAGCAAGGCCTTAGCCATGATAAAAGGAGGTGGTGTTTTCCAGCTCCTGCAGGAAGAAGGGCTGTGTCCCTTCTCAGAGGGGGTGAGACAGGCTTGGGGGCCAGAGAATACATTCATGTGGCAAAGGGAGGGAGCTGGGGCTTTCCGTGTCACACCCAGGCTGTCCCCCGAAATGGCAGCAGTGGGGGGCAGCCCCTCAGCAGGCCCGAGTTCAGAGCCTACCTGACAGGCTGGCACTGACAGGTCTTTCCCTAGCTCCCCTCAGCCAGTGTGGGAGGGCTGTTTCGGGAGTGTGGGGGAGAGGGAGCTGAGGCAGCTCATCCAATTTGTGCAACATTCCTCCCAAAGCAGCTGAGGTAAGGGGCGACCTTGGCCCCTTACAGGACACCTGCCACAGGAACTGCCACAGGGAGCTGATCCCAGCGGGTCCAGTGGGCGGGGCTTCTGGAGAGGGTCTTGCTGTGCAAACTGCCAGCACCCAGCTGACAGTTACCCCAATGACCCACCTTCTAGGGGCAGCAGGGTAAGTGCAGCCTCAGGGGAGCCAGGCAGGACAGTTCCATGGGGCCTGGTACCCACTGGCCGAAAATAACAGTGTGATTTTTTTTTTTCCTTTCAGCCTAACTTTTTTTTTCATTATTTTTTTTATCTTTTTTTTTTCTAAAAAAAATAAAAATAAAAACAAAACAAAAAACAAAACCAAACTCTGTGGACCTTCCAATGTCACACCCATTATCCCCAAAGGGGTGAAGGGGACTACTGTCTAGCTTTTGAATGATATTTTTGTCTCTCCTAATGTTTAAAATTAAAGAGAAAAAGAAAAGCCCCTCCCCCATCTGTAAAGTGCCTCGTGGTGGGTGAGTTAAGGTGCATCGTGTGGTTTGTAACAAGTGCTGGGGACCCTGCCCCGCTCGCTCGCTTGCTTGCTTCCTCCTCTGCTCCTTGTGGGAGCCTGCGGGCTGGAGACCCAAGGGTCCATGCTGCTGCCACCCGAGTCTAAGGCCCAGGGGGCTGGTGGGACAGGCTGGTCAGTAGTCATCCACGCTCTCGATCTCACCGGAAGGGCCATGCAGGGAGTACCCTGAAGCCAGGGGAGAAGTGACGGTGAGCTCACCAAGGCCCTGTGTGACTGTGCAGGGAAAACAGAGCTTCCCGGTCCCACCCAACACTTACCCAAGATGCTGGGGTCTGAGTGAAGCATCAGCGCCCGCCTCTTGGCCTTGCTGCCCTCCCCAGGGCCCAGTTTGGTGCTGTGGTTGGCCTGAAAGGCTGTCTGTAGGGAGGTGCTGCTCAGCCAGGCCTCCTAAGGCAAGAAAGAATAGAGTCAGGAGAGTCCTGGGCATCCTGCCTTCCCAAGTCCCACAAGACTTTACCTGTTGTTGCTGCTGCTGCTGCTGCTGCTGCCGCTGTTGGCTGGCTTTCTGCTTGGCCCTCCGCTCCAGGAATTGTTTGGCAAATTCTTTGGCTTCCAGCGTGTCCCCCAGGCAGGAACGAATATAGTCATGGACATCGTAAGGGGACTCCACCTCCTTGAGGATCGCTACAGCCATGGGGACTATGGAGAGGGGACAGTGAGGCATGCTGGACAGTCTGCAGTCCCTAGTGCCAACACGGCCTCCAGGGAGAGCCTCCATACCGTCCAGGCTGCCTGTGGTGCTCAGAGTGTGCAGCATCTGCTCGCACCACTGGGTGAAGCCGTCCTGGGGCCGAGGGATGCCCTGCAGCAGCTTCAGCAGCTTCTCCTCCTCTTCCGTCTTCTTGCGAACAGGTCGACCTGACAGGTGGCTGTACGAGTCACTGAGGCAGGTGGGGAATTGGAGGCCACAGATGAGCCCAAACCTGTAGCACCCTTCCCCCCTTCCCTGACAAACCCCAGCTAAGCAGGTGTCTCACCCACCTGAGAGACGGGCTGCTCCGACTGTTCTTTAAGCCCAGGCTTCGGGCCAGGCTCCCGCCACTCTTGACAGTATCTTCCCAGAGTCCCAGGTTGCCACTGCTGCTGCCCCCACTCTTGTCTGGCCCGCCCCACAGTGGCCCAGCCTCAGACACCCACTGGTTCAGAGGGGCAGAGCCCAAGCCCCCAAGCTGCTGCAAACGGCAGGAAGTCAGGGGGCTCTAAAACAGGACCCTGGACATCTAGGCAGGGAGGCTCACTTGGGGGCAAATGGGAGGGCATGAGGTGAACACTAGGGAAAGGGGCCATCCTTCCAATAATGAAAGGAGATAAGTCTTCAGCTCTCGGAGTCTGAGCTCAGGGATACCTCCCCCCCCCCAACCCGAGTGCTCCAGGAAACTGCAGCAGAGGGGCTCCCTGGGGCGGGTGCTCACCACTCGGTGGTTGGGGGCCTGGGCCCGCAGAGGTTCCCGCGGTGCCGGCTGCTTGTGCAGTTGGCGCTCACTTTCCATCTGCAGCTCCAGCAGAGTCTTCATGGACAGGCCCTGCTTGGCTAGGCCAGCCCAGAGTGGGGGTGGGGAGCTGGGTGCAGGAGGCACAGGGACATTTGTCGCTTGCTGCTGCTGTAGCAGCTTCAGCAACAGTTCCTGTTGTCGCACCTGGGTGAGGACACAGTGGGTGAGGGTGGCCCACTGGCCCCAGACCCAGGCTAGGCCCAGGAGACAGGTGGGACTTGAACCTGTTTGCGCCGGAAGAGCTCCTCCTCCTCCTGCCTCCGCTTCTGCTCCTCCTGCTGCTGCTGCTGCTGGCGGCGCTTCTCCTCCCGGCGTTTGCGCTCCTCCTCCTCCCGCTTCGCCCTGAGCTCCACTTCTCTGCGCTCTTGAAACTGAAGTGACAGTGATTTTAGCCAGCAGGGCCGCTGATACGCCTCCCCAGCTTTCACAGGTCAGCCTGCTACTACTTACCTTATGTTGCAGCTGGAGCTGTTCTAGAATTGGACCCTGAGTCGAAGAGTTAATTGGTATGTCCCAAAGACTGGCCTCACCACCTGCAGGACAAAAGGCAGCTGCAGAGGCCCAGGCCAGCAGAGCCACCCAGATAGGAAGCAGAAACATTTGTCCCAAGTGAGCCTCCCTGCCTAGATGTCCAGGGTCCTGTTTTAGAGCCCCCTGACTTCCTGCCGTTTGCAGCAGCTTGGGGCTTGAGCACTGCCCCTGTGTACCAGTGGGTGTCTGAGGCACGGGGGCGGGGGGATGGAGGGGGAAGGTGGGCCAGACAAGAGTGGGGGCAGCAGCAAAGACTTGGGGGTAAGAGGGACCAGGAGGTGGCAGGGTGGCCACTCACCTGACTGTGGTGAAGCTGAGGTATGTAAGTCCCAGAGGGGGCCTGAATCTGGCACCGACAAGGACCGGCTCATCGTCGGGAGCAGGTTCTGGTCCCCACCTCTGAGAACAAAGCACTGGCCCTCAGGCGCACTGTTCTCTGGTAGCCTGCCCTCCTCCTCTCTCACACCAGCACCCATATTATTTACACTTTCTCACACACATTACTTCAGACACAACCTAGAGTTGTGTGCAACAGACCTGGGGGTTTTGAGAGCCTGGAGCTGCTGCAGGAACGTAGTGAGCTGCTGCTGCTGCGGCGGCGTCAGGTCCCCCATAGCTGCCTTTTCCCGGAGCGTCGTACACTGCGGGAGCTGGCGGCTGCAGACATCCTGGGCTCAGACAGTGGACCACGCAGGACCACTGCCTTGCCCACAGCAAGCCCACAAGTTCCCCGTACCTGCCAACCAGCTGCAGAAAGTGCTGGTGCTGCAGCTGCTGGTACAGGGCTGCGGCAGCCAGCTCCTGCTGCTTCTTCAGCCGCTCCTGATCCATGTTCCCCTGTGGGAGGTCAAAGCATGCCTGTGAGCGTGCCCAGCAGGAGCGTGCCCAGCAAGCGAGGTGGTGGGGAAGCCTGAAGTCCTGCTGCTGCCCCCACTGGCCTTCCCTGCAACCTGCCGAGCAGACAGTGCTCACCAGCAGCGGGGGTGGCGAGGGCCCTGGGGCAAAGGGCACACGGCCCCACATCTTGATCACCTCTCCCAGAGGCTGGAAGCCCTCATCACAGCCCCTCTTCACTAGGAGTGACATGGAGAAGTAGCCAGCCTGGAACCACTCAGCCATCTCCTGGGTCGTGAAAGGGCCTGGAACAAGGGTGTCAAGAGGGGTCAGGAAGTGGCCATGGCATCTCAGAGGGCACACTGAGACCTGCCTGAGCAACACTGAGTCCCAGCAGCCTACTACTCGCCGCTACCTTGGATCTCCCCCTGAGGGTCCTTGTAGAACCACTTTCGGGCAGCGCCATGGCTGAGGGGAAGGGCAGTGGCAGCTGTGGAGTGGCGTAGGCCCTGGGTCTGCATGGCAGCGGTGAACTGCTCCTCTTCCAGGGAGCTGTCCTGTAGAGAGGCCACCAGCTTCTCTGCCTCCTGGAAGTTCAGGAAGAGAGGCAAGTCTGAGCTGCCTGAGGAGGCTGGGCTCAAGGGCAGGACAGGGACCCTGTCAGACAGACCTGGGACACATGGGACAAGGTACTCTGCAACCCTGGAGGAGAGGCCCCTGAGCATGCACTGGCACCCCAAACCTGCTGCAAGTGCTTCAAGCCTTCCTCATCTTCTAGATCTCCAGGTGGGCCAGGAGGTGAACTGATTCTAGGACTTAGAGACAGTCCCCTCATCTCTTCTCCTGGGAAAGTAGGGAGGAGCGGAGAAAGGGACAAGATGGCTCCTGTAGCTGCTAGGAAAACAGGCTCTTGCCACAACTGCACTTCACTAGGCACGCCTCACTCCTCCTGCACAGCCCGGCCAGCCTACCTTCAGCGGGAGGCAGCTCTTTCTCCACAACCTCACCACCATCCTCGTTTGTTGTCCAGAGAGGGCCCAAGGCAGGCAGTGAGGACGGTGAGCTCGACTTCTCTGGAGGAGGCAGTGGGGCCACTTCCTTCCCTCCTGGAAGAAACACACGATTACTCGAACGCAAAAGCAGAGCTGCGGCCAAGGCGCAGGCTCCAGGTATGAAAGTGCACGCTTCCCAAGTCTGAGGGCCTGTGGTGAAATCCCAAGAACTCATTTATAAGCAGAGTTTGGCACAGAAAATGAACAGAGACCCTACCTTACACAAGGTGAAAGGCAGGACCTATGCCCCATACACAGGAAGAATACAATCACAGGGAGCCGGTATCTGAGGCAGCATAAGTCAACATATGCAACCGGCTCCATGACCTTGGGCAGTGAGTCTATCCTGTTGACTCTGGTCAACCCCTCACCAAGCATGAGCACAAACGGAGAGAACCGCACAGCAGTCTACACTAAGCACACTAACTCTCGGCCCTGCTTTGGGAGACGGGAGGACCCACGTGTGCCGAGGGCTGTGTGGGCCTGCAGGGGCCACAGCTGACAAGGGACTTCAACGGTCATTGCACTCACAGCTGACAAAGGTTCCTTCTCACACACACACACACACACACACCTGCACATGCACTACAGGTTTAGAGGACAACTTGGTGGAGCTGGTTCTTCTCCCTTCTATCATGTGGGGTCCAGGGACTGATGCTTGGTGACAAGCCGTCTCACCACTCCTACCTTAACATCTCTAAGCGGCCTGACCTTACAGATAGGTGGGCAGTCCAGCTCGGCAACAGATGTCTGCCAACTTGCCCCAGCCCAAGATTCTCAGGCCTCGTCCCTGCAACACTCTAAGGGCTCACCTGCCTCAGGCCCCTCTTCATCCACCCCTTCTGATGGTTCCTCTTCCTCTTCCTCCAGGCCCTGGAAATCAAGCTCTTGCTCCTCTGGAATAGGTTCCTTGGGGCCCTTCTGTGTGGGCAAGGGCAGAGTAGACACAATGGGAGGGCAGCTGGGGACAGCTGCTACCACCCCCAACTGGTCCTGAGATGGGTACCTTAAGAGGCAGGAAGGCTCCGGAGGCATCAAAAGTTCCCATCTCTTCATCCTCGTCATCCAGGCACCACTCTGGGAGCCCATCCTTGTCATCTTCAAAGCCATCCAGACCCCGGCATCTCCGGAGGTGAGAGCTGCCTCCCCCAACCCGCCCATCCTCTTCACCACACCCTCCGCGTTCCCCTCGCAAATCAAAGTCAAACTTGCGCCTTCGCTCCCCATGCTCCCGCCAGCCAGCAGAGCGGGGACCACCATCTGAAAGAGAAAGTTGGAGAAGGGGGAAGAAACTCTAGTATCCAGCCAAGCCAAGCCACACCTTCTCTGGCTCACCAGGCCTTCCCCACTAGCATGGCTTCCCCTGGAATTTTCTCATTCCTCACATGCCTGGCCACCTGCTTCCCCGGTGTCACCAAGATATCCTGAACCCCAGCTCGTCCCCATCTCACCAGGACTGGAGGAACGCCAACGATGATCACCGTCTCGCCGGGGTCCTGCCCCCAGTCTCCAGCTGCCATCGTCCTCCTGCTCCTCTCGAAGTGAGCGCCAGTTCTCACTGTCTGAGCGCGCATGCTCCTTCCTCGGGCCGGCCCCTCCCTCCTCAAAGCCAGATCGTACTGGCACAGGGGAGACAAACGGTAAGCATGGAAGAACTTCAAGACAGCTTACTCCTGTAAGCTGCCCCTACCCACTACCTGGGAACCCCATCTCAGATCCTCCCTACCCTACTGGGCACCACATTCACACTCTCATACCTCCATCCCTCCTCGCAGACTTCTCAAACCGCCTCTCACCTCTGTGGAAGAAAGATGCTGGTCAAAACACACATTATCCCGCCTGAGGGGACTAGGGGCTAGGCTAGGTAGGCAAGACCCAGAGGCTGTGATCAGGGTGGCCTAGTGGGCGTCTTTGGCCCCTCTAGTCACCCATTGCCAGCTCAGTAGGACGCCTCCTTCATGCTGCCATCCCCACCTGTCATCCCAGCTCTGGCTTCGCTGGATCTCCCGAGGATTCCGTCCAAAGGCCCCGTCGCCTTCCTCAATGCTTCTTTGGTAAAAGCAGCTGTCACCGCGGCCTCGCCCTGAAGAAGAGGGTTCACACTGGGCTTGGGAACTACGAGTGTCCCTCTATATCTTAGCTCCACCCACTCCGACTCTGCCCATCTCCTCCCTAAAAACCACAAGGAGTCACCCTGTACCTCGGCTCCGAGTGCTGCCCCTGCCACGGGAGGTGGCAGCCACAGGGGGCCCAGCCCCTTTCCCCATCAGCCTCAGCACAGCCACACTGTTCACCGACAGGGAGAAGTTTCTCTGAGGAGGGAGCCAGGGATGGCAGTGAGGACCTGTCACCCAGTCAGCCCCCGTCTTTCCAAGCCCAGCTCCTCCCTCCTCCACCCTAGGCCCAGCCCCACCTGCTCCTCCTCAGTCAGAGGTTCTAGAGCCAGAGGTTGAAGTGGTTCCTCTTGTAACACTGCAGCAAATTCCTTGTCCTGTAGTTCCTCAGGGACCTGGATGGGACAGGAGGCCCAATGTATCAACCATTCAGAGGCAACTCACAGAACAGGCAAATGGGTGCGGGAGCTGTGCTGCACCCCCAAACCGCACCTTGTTCTCCTTGATGTAGAGGGCCAGCATTTCCTCTCGTCCATAGCGGTAATCTGCCAGCTTGTATTTTGGCATGGCAGGAGATGGGGGTGGAGAGGCCACACTGCCACCACTCGAAAGGGCTCTCAGCCTAGGCAGGCACAGAAAGGGAGAGGGGAGACGGAGGTCCATGTGGCCCTTCCCCTCTACACCAGCTTTTCCCATGAGCCAGAGCTTAAGCGACCCACCACTCAGGCCCAAAGTTGAGTGTCTCCGCTGCCATTGTGGAGATGGGGTGCTTCTCAAAGGTCAAGGATGAACGGAGGAGAGAGAACCAGGCGTGTACTGTCCAAATACCTGTAGGGCCACAGACAATGTCCTGAGTAAGCTGGTGCACATCAGTCATGGTGCCGGCACTGTGCTGGGCCAGTGACAGGCCTCCATCCAGATGGTGAGCCATTTTGGCATTGAACTCACCTACACTAGACAAGTGACCACTCACACCATGAGTTAACCAAAGCTGAGTCAGGGAAGGGGAGAGGCCTGGGAGTGAGGGACAAGGACACTTGAGCCCCTTCCAGTTCAGTGGGACGCCCTCTGGTGGCCCAACACTCACCTGACAGTTCTGTCGGGGAAAACAAGGGCTCTCTTCTGGCAGGGCAGGGGCTGGGCTGAACTAGGATCCCCACGCAACTAGTTATAGCCTCAGAAGTGCCTGGGAGAAACGTTCACATCTGGGCAAGATCCTGAGGGAGAAGAGGAAAGGGGGTAGTTATATCAGTGAGTCAGACGGCCTCCCAACCTCTGCCCACAGCTGCTGGGCACAGTGAACTCAGGAGAGAGGCACAAAGTGATCACTGGTCAGCGGTACTCTCATGGGTAGCTGAGTTAACCAGTGTGCCCAGAATACACGGAGGACTTTCAGCACAAAACAGGTCCTCAAGCCTGTTTTGTAATGTCCATGTTTGTAATCCCAGCACTCAGGAGGCAGAGGCAGGAGGATTGCAAGTTCATGGCCAACCTGGAACAACACATAGTAAGACTATTCTGAGACAATAACTGGACTGTAACAGTTTGGCTGGTAGTGACACACTTACTCATCATAATTGAAGCCCTAGACCCTGTGCCCAGCACCACACCAACATGGAGTGTAGCACCTGCCTTTGATCCCAAACACTTAGGCGATAGAGGCAGGAGGTTCAGAAATTTAAGGTCACTTCCAGCTACATACAAGTTCAGGGCTAGCCTGGGCTATATGAGTAAACCACGAAGGCACTGGGGCCACTTATATCTTATAGAGGAATGGTCCATTTTGTAGAGCAGTACGACAAATCTTGGAATAAGCTGACTTCTCTAAAGAAAAAACTTAGGGCATCTGTCTGAGGGGACAGAGTTTTGACATGAACTAAGCAGTCACAGAGTCACAGACACTCCACTCGGGGCAGGCTCAGAGCAGGTACAGAGCAGGTAGGTGTGACCACAAACATCCCAGGCTCATCTACTAAATGGGGACCAAGTCCTAAACTCCTTCCCCTCCATCAAGATCTGCCCCTCAGGAAAAAGGTCAAGGAGGGCCCAGGGTTCTAGCAGAGCGGCTGGTGGAAGGATCACTCACCATGTGAGAAGATTCAAGTTCAGTGTCCAGCGGCTAATGAGGCAGCAGTGGCAGCAACAGGGGCAGGTTCCCCTAGGGGCCTGGGTAGGAGACTCTCAGGAAGGGGTTCATCCAGGAAAGGCAGAGTAGAGGAGGAAGGGCAGGCAGTGTCCAGGAGGGAGTATGCGGGTTTTTTATCACAGGCTGGGCAGGAGGCTGGACCAGTGTACCTCTCCAGTCCCCATCCGCTGCAGGACGCCAGGAGTCTAGAGGAAGGAAGAAGAAAGCTTCCACCAGAGGAGCCTCAGAAAGGGGTCTCCCCAGTAACTAAACCAAGATCCCAAGGCAGACAATGGGGTGACCCAGAAGCCCAGCACCCCAGGACACCTAAGCCACAGTGAGGTAAGTGTCTTAACTACAAGAGCCTGGACTGACCCAGGGTGCACCCCTCCCCCAGTGACTGCACTGAGGATTGAGGCCTCCACAACCCACCGAGGGGATCTGGGGCTAGGCAGCCCTTGGGGACACCATGTTAAGTGAAACAAGTCATGCAGTGAAAGTCTGAGGCTGGAGCTGTCGCCAAGCAGGCAGAGTGCTTGCCTAGCTTGCAAAGTCCCGGGTTTCACCTTCACATTGCATAAACCACCTGTGGTGGGGCACAAGAATCACAGACTTAAGCTCACCAGCTCCCCGCCCCAAAGAAACACAAAGTAAACACACTAAAGGGACTGCAGATGCCCCTCAGCAGCCAGACACTCCAGACGCTTGCCTAGCATGCACAAGGCCCTTGGCTTCAGCCATCAGTACTGTCAAAAAAGGGACCTGGGGCTGGGGAGATGGCTCAGTGGATGAGAGCGCCTGCTGCTTGTCTCAAGGACCTGTGTTCAGTTCCCAGCAGGAGAGAGGGACAGGAGACTGGACCCCTATAGGGTGTTTCTTACAGAGTAGCCAGGGGTCAAAGACCTGGAGTTGGGACGGATGGGGCTGCCTGCAAACACTAACTGGATCTAGCGTTGTTTCAGCTGGGCCCAGAAGGGTGTGAACATACCCTTGACAGCTGTATAACACTGTACATGTATTAACACCACAGAACCACACACCTAGACAATGACTAAAGTGGGGCTGGAGAGATGGCTCAGCGGTTAAGAGCACCGGCTACTCTTCCAAAGGATCCTGGTTCAATTCCCAGCAACCACATGGCAGTACACAACTGTCCATTAATTCCAGTTCCAGGGAATCTGACAACCTCATACAGACATACATACAGGTAAAACACCAAAGCAATTAAAAAAAATTATCAAAAAAAAATTTTAATGCCTCAAGAGGTAAAGTAAGGATTTTACTTTTTGTTTCTCGAGAATCCTTTTGCCTCAGCCTCCTGCGTGCTGGGACTCCAGGCATGCTCCACCATGCCTAGCTTTCACCAGTCATTTCGGCTTTATTTCGGAGTTACATGTGTGTGTTTGGAGACGGCGAGCAATGATGATGGCATGTGCCCTTTGTGCAGGTGTCCAGAGTCTAGAAGGTGTTGGGTCCCCCGGAGCTAGGGTACAGGTGGCTGTGAGTCACCTGACATGGGAGAAGGAAATCGCTCAGGGCTTCTGCAAGATTATTCCATGCACTTGACCACTGAGCTGCCATCACACCAACAATCACTTAAAAAGCTTTAGCAAGGCTGGTGGCACAGGATGGACTTAGCGTGTATAAGCCCAGGGCTTCAACCCTCAGTGCTTATTTTTAAAAACAAAGGAACAGCAACAAAACCCCACCACCACAACAAAAAAAATTTTGTAGGGCAGGGTAAATGGCTCAGTCAGAAATAGTCCTTGCTGTACAAACACAAGGACCTGAGTTCAAGCCAACACTCAGGTAAAAACCAAGCATCCCTGCTTATAACCTAGCATCAGGGAGGAAGTAAGAGGAGCAGCCCTGGAATGCTTAAGCAGATGGCTAGAGATGGCTCAGTAAGTAAAGTGGGTGTGGCACAAGCGAGAGGACCAGAGTTCAGATCCCCAGAGCCCATGTAAAGATGGACAGTGTTCCCACAGGGAGATGGGGGATGGAGACAGGAGCATCCCTAGGAACTCCTGGGCCAGTCAACCAGATGAATGAGACCCCAAGAGGACCCCGTTTCAAACAAGGTAGAAGGACTAACATCCAAGGTTGTCCTCTGACCAACACGTGTGCACACATTCACACACACACACACTCACATATATACACACACACAGATTTAAAAAGCAGGAAGTTAGACATCAGAAGAGAAATAACACCAACCTGTGGTCTATACACACTTATCTGCACTTGCGAGTACGTCAAAACATTAGGGGAAAAAGCCACTTCGGGGTTATAGTGCATACTCAAGCTTTCCCTATTCCAAACAAAGAACCCACACACCCCTTCAAACAACCTTCAGAGTGACAATATGGAAGCTTCTCTGTTAATTCCTTCTAGTGGATCAAACATTGGTCTTAGCAGTGTGAAAAGACTGTCCACTGAGACACATCAATGGGGTGTCCTGCACTCATCTTTTGGCACCTTCCCGCCCTTCATGAAGCTGCCCTGGTTGGACAGAGTAAGGAGAGGCGGGCTGGCAGTGCAGCTCAGCCTGGTGATGACACTTGCTGCTAAGACTGACCACCGAGGTTTGATCCCTTAGAATCCACATGGTGGAAGGAGAGAACCAACTTATACTCAGACCTCCACATGCATGCCATGCTGCATGTGTACCCCCGCCCTCAACACACTAAGCAGGGGTGGGGTGGTGGTGGTAGACAGGACAATGATGATGACAATGACACTCTTAATTTACAAACAGAAAAGGGGGGGAAAGCGTAAGGAGCACCACTGTGGAGCCACTGCAGAGGCAGGACAAGGCCCCAGGGAACACGGACAAGCCCCGAGGCCACACACCAGCCAGAGAAAGGGCCCAGCGCAGGAACTGGGCAGCACTAGACTTCTTCCTCACACTGAAGGGACCTAGGAAGCAGCAGGCAGTCCACTGTGGGGTCTCTTCCTGTGCCACACAAGTAGATCTCTGCCCTGTGTGCTACCTGAAGCCAAGGACTCTAGGCTGAGGAAGATGCTCCCTGCCCCCCGAGGAATACGGACGATGACTGCAGAAGCTCAGGCAGAGCGGGAGGATGGTACTGGCTCCTAGCAGGTGGAGACCAGGGATGCTGTGGGCTAGCTTACAATCCACAGGACAGCCCCACACAGAGAAGCAGACACATGGCAGGCTCAGCTGGTAGAATGCGAGCCTAGCATGCCCAAGGCCTTGGGTTCAACCCCCAGCTCTCCGCATCAGGCAGGTAGTACAGGCGGGCCTGTCAGCCACCGGCATGTGGCCAGGTGCAGACAGGTGGACTGCGATGCCCACAATGACAAGACTGAGAAAATCTCCTCCATTGCAAGCCCAGGTGGAGACATGGCAGCATTTAGAATATGAAGCCATCGCCTTTAATCCCAGCACTTGGGAGGCAGAGGCAGGCGGATTTCTGAGTTTGAGGCCAGCCTGGTCTACAGAGTGAGTTCCAGGACAGCCAGGGCTACACAGAGAAACCCTGTCTCGAAAAAAAAAAAAAGAAAAATTAGAATATGAAGCCAAGTGTAAGCTCCCATGCCCCTCAGCAGCAAGGAAAAGGCTCTCACATCACACTGTCTTGGGAGAAAATTCAAAGTCCTGCCAGAAAGGAAGGCCTGGGGTAAAGGATAGATTAAAAACCAACGGCATCATGCTGGTGAGACGGCTCAGCTGATAAAGGCGCTTGTGGCCAAATCTAATGACCTGAGTTTGATCCTCAGGACCTACACTGTGGAGAGATGCAACTCCTCCACTGTGTCCTCCCCACCAAATATCATGAGACATGCTTGTGCGTGTACACACACACACACACACACACACACACAGACACAGTAATTTAAAAACGAGGGGGGGAAATCAAAGCCTAAGTTTGCCCAACCCAGCTTCTCAAAGCTAAGCATCTGAGGCCCTTCCTAATGAAGAAGGCCCATGCACAGCAGGGTTGGGGGCCACAGCCTTCACAACCCCTTTTTACTCACTACCTAGGCTAAGTAAGGGTCTTTTCCTCCCAGGCTAACTCCAGTTTGCCCCTCAGCCTCTCTGTTTTGTGTGACCCCCCTCTCCCCACAGCCTACCCCCCCCCCCTTCCCCAGCACCTGAGTTCTCTTGGTACTGCAAGACTGACCCCTGCTGGAGGCATGGGTTGGACCTGGGGATCTGGGAGCTAGTAGCTTCCTTAGAGGGCCCTGGGTTCTGGCTCTCAGAACTCTAAGCACAAGCTGACCACAATACTGGACAGTATCTCCTTACTCTACCTCCCACCCCCAAACTTTGCTGCAACCTAAAGCAATGTAACTTGGCAACTTCCTGTACCACGGTTAACAGAGTCAAAGCCCCAAACTCGATCAGTCACCTAGCCACTTTCCAAGGATGGACAGATGGAGACACATACATGCATGGTGTACATTTATCCGTACACATATACACATATAAAACATATTCTCCCTCCACGTGTAGGACGAGGAGGAAGGGCTACAGGCTCCCATCAGCTGCAGGGCCCCAGTTGCCCCTGCTCTACTCTGAGCTATGGTGACAACCTCAGCGCTTGGCAATTGTGAACCAACTTCACAGTTTTCCAAGTATTTTCACGCCTTACCTCATTTGATCCTTTCTGCCAACTTGCCCAGCTGGGGACTCCAGTACATAGAAAATAAAGTTACAGCTCCCCTGACGGGACACCCTGACACCCTCACCACCCAAGACGGGCAGAGATGTGTAAGGTGGCAGGGGTTACCCTGAACGTTCAGGCTTCCTATGAGTTTGAAGCCGTGTCCGACTCCTTCTTAGACCTTGGGGCTGATGCTTGTACATCTATCTCACTCTGTGTCCGAGGCTGCCCTCAAACGCCTGTCCAGGAACCCCCCTGCTTCCTGAACATTTGGATGCTAGGCATGGGCTTCTATGCCAAGATTTTTCTTAGAACTTTTACATTTGTGTGTGAGTATGGTATGCATGTATGCATTTGAATTCACATGTGCACACACATATGCATGAGTGTAGTGGCCTGAGGTTGATGGCGAGTGTCTTCAGTTGCTTCCCACTGTATTTATCAGCAGGGTCTCTCTGCTGAGGCAGAACATGCTGTTTTGGCTAGTCTAGCTAGCTCTCTTGCAATAGCTATTCCCTGTCCTCCTGGGATGGCTAGCATGGCTGTGTGGTCCCTTAGCATTTATGTGGCTCTAGAGAGCCAAATTCTGGTCCTTACACTTGCTCACTAGCCACTAGTCCTTTCTTCAAACTTTGAGGTCACCCTCTCTCACCTAAATCGGAGCTGTTTTTCATTTTTTTCTCTATGATGCTGAAGAGGGGCACATGCAGGTCAGAGGACAACTCTGTGGAGTCTGTTCTCTACTGCCTCCCTGAAGTGAGTTCTTGGTCAACAGGCTTGCAAACCAAGTAAGTACCTTGTCCAGCTGAGAATGAGTCCTACCTCAAATACCAAAAAGAGCTGTCAAAGGCTAGGGTAAACTTGGGATCCCGTATTCACTGTCCCAACAAACCACTAACTTGCATCCACTAGCTGACAAAGCCAGTCAACAAGGATGAATACACCACAGAAGTTTACTAGAATCCTCATGCGGGATTCGAGGCCCCTCGCGTCCCCAACCCCCACCCTACATGGTTCCCAGTCAATGGAGAGGAATAATAAGCCAAGTTCTTCCTCAAATCCTCCCCAAACTTGGGATACTGATGTACAACCTATAACTAGAAGTTGAACTGGGCTGGAGGGTAGCCGGCCTGGGGATCCAAAGGGAATAGCTGGATGGATAGGTACCAGAGCCAACCACTTACTGGTCCTAGATGGGTTGGGGTTTCAGTAGAAAAGTGGATTGTCAGCTTGGAGGGTCAATGACTGCTGGGAAGGGGCTTTCCTGAAGGGGAGCACTTGGATCGGGGAGATGGGAGGGGAATGAAGGGTGGGTGGAGGAAAGATGTGGTCACCAACTATTTATTTAGCATCTCCCAAGCTGAGAACTGCAAGCTGCTCTGGGAACTGTGATAACTATTAGATCTAACAGGGGACACAGAAGGGTCTTTCATCTTGACAAAAAAAAAAAAAAATTAAGAAGAATTCTAGGCAAACGGTGAGTGACAGTGACCTGCAGCTGTCCCATCTAGCTGGGACATATGGACTGGCAAGAGCCTGGTCAGGGATGCCCAGCAGCCCCAGCTCAGACAGACAGGTGTCTCACGCGGCCGGCCGGACAACTGAGGAGGGAAAAGGGACATCGATGACCAAGCACTTAGGTGGCCGCTCAAAACGCAAGAAAGCGAAGTGAAGACCCAAGACGACGAGGTGCTCGGGGGCAGAATAAAGCTACCATGTCGGCCAGCCGAAGTGGTGGAACGCTTGGACCCGAAAGCCCCCACCAGGCCCGGTTCGGCTACCAGAACCGTGCTTGGCACGTAGCGGGCTTGGGGGGTGTAGGGGTGGAAGAGGGGACACCGCCAGAAGGGGAGGTCGGGGCGCGCACACACCACACAGCAGAGAGGCCGGGCCCGGGCGGGACATTTCGGGGAGCTTGAAGGGGACCCCCAGAGACGCGACCGTTACTTCGGACCGAGCGCGGGGGGTGCGGGAAAGCACGGGCCGGGAGGACGGCGTGCCCTTCAGGGAGGGGCGCCAGGTGCGCGGGGCGCGCGCGGACCGCCACCGTCCCCCCTCTCCCTCCCCGTCCTCCCGCCCCGAGGAACAGTGGGGCAAGCAGGGGGCCTCCCCCACCCCCCACCGGAGACGACGAGACCCGAGCCGGGGCCGCGGGGCCGCTCCGGAGAGGGAGGGGAGGGTCGGAGGGAGGGCTGGCGCGCCGGCGACCGAGGTGGACGAGGAGGAGGGCCCGCGCGCGGTGGCTCCGGCTTCTGCCCGCAAAGGCTCCCGGGCGGCCGCCGCTGGCGTCGGGGGCGGGCCTGCTCCGGCGCTCGCAGAGCTTACCGGGGGGCGCGAGGTTCCCGGTCCCCCGGGGCGTTGGTGACCCGGGCGCGGTGGCGGCGGTGACGGGCGGGTGGCGCGCGGCGGGCCGGGACGGCGGCGGCAAAGGGGGGGGACTGGAGGGGGGGCGCTGGCGCTCCCGCGGCGGCCGCTCCTCTCTGTTTGTGTTTGTAGCAAGATGGCTGCCCGCCTTGTACCACGTGACACGGACGCGGGGCCGCCCCCTCCAACGCCACCGCGGCCGCCGCTCCCGCCGCCACCTCGCTCCCGGACTCCGACCCGCCGCGACCCCCGCCCGCCGCCGCTCCCCACTGCGGCCCCGCGACCTACTGCAAGGCTCCCCCACACCCCACTCACGTGACCCGGGAGCCCCCTCCACGGCCCGTCACGTGACGGGGTGCCAGTGCAACCTGAGGCTGGGGGGGGTCTCCGCTTCCCCCGTCCTTTTCTGGCCAAGCCCTGCTTCTTCCAGGGAGCCCGCCTGGGTTCGGGGTAAGAGTCCAATCCAGAATTGTCCCCGAACACTGTGGGGTTTAGGGACAAGCGTGAATGCGCAGTGATTTACAAGCGGTCTGACTGGGGCTGTCTTTAGGATGTAAGAATTTTTCGGTAGGGTGAGAAAGTGGAGGCAGGAGGACCAGTTCAAAGCCAGCCTGGCCTACAGAG